GGCATTCGTTGGATGATCGAGGAACGGATATAACTGAGTGAAGGTGATGTAGGGCACGGAACCCATCCCCAGTAGATAATCCCAGTAGCCGCTCCATCGCAGGAACTGGAATGGGATCCTGAAGTAATACCATCGCTCCTACCATCAGCTGCAGCCGCTCGATGATATAGGGACTGCCGGTTGTGGATCGAATTTTGCGAAGGATCTGCAAGTAGAGTTCGTCGATCGTGTGGTCGGGTCCAGTGAGCGATGACTCGCTGCGCTGAAGGAGAAGATCCAGTTGCTGTCGAGGATTCCGAACTTCATCGTCTCCCGTGAAACGCACGAAGGTCGCAGCAACAATGAACAACGTTTCTGCCCTCCCTGCTAGAACCTCTATCTCGTCACGCCTCGCCCATGTCCTTCCTATTGGAAGCTCGAGTCTTCCGGGGATCTCTGCAAACGAGGTCTGGAGATAGAGACGAATGTCGTTCTTTACTATGGATGCCTCGATGTCGTGGAGAATGACGCGGTGAAGATTGTCGGCATGGCTAAAAATACTGCGCAGATGAGGTTCCGGGCGGCTAGTCATGAAGATTTTCAGTGGGAAAGAAACCTTCGAGGCTTCCGCGAGCAGGAGTCGGATCAACTCCTTCGCCCCCTCTTTCTGACACTCGTCAAGAGCATCTAAGATGACGAGAAGAGGATTTGAGGGTCGAATAACGCGCTGCAACGGTTCTACAATCAAATTTTGCAGTTGGATCGCCAGGCCCTCATACGCTGCGCCAGAGGAGACCTCCGCAGCTCGAACGAAGTGGGAGAGGAAGGAAGGACTGAAATTGCCAAGTTGGTAGGCTAGGGTGGGGAAAACGAGTGCAGGGTTGGATAACTCGGCCTCGCCGGCTCTGGAAAAGAAGAAGCTAGCAGCGAGGCAGCCGTCACGGGAGGCTTCTTCCGCGAGCGTTTGAGCAATTGTTGTTTTGCCGACACCAGCGATACCGTCGAGATTGAAGAATCGAGGGGCGCCGGGCGAGATGTCAGCGTGCTATGCCCATATCTCCTTCAAGATAGCAGTACGAGTGCCTTCTAAGCAGCTGGAACGGGCATGGTTTGCCGACCATCCAGCGAGCTTTGCCTGTGGTAGTGCTTTGAGAGCGAGTAAGGCTAAATGGTAAATGAACTCAGCTTTGTTACCCGAAACCTATCGCCGGGACCGTACACACCTCTTCCTCGACTCTGAGAGTAACAACCGAACACAATGATCTCGTATATCTTGAAGATCCAAGCAAGCACTGCAAATACACCGCATGTGGCTATAAATCTGTCCGTGCATCCCCGAGCTCCCAGCTGCTTCCGATGGCTTTTACATGATTCCTTCGGGCAAATAGGTCTATCGGTGACCAAGGCGAGGTGGTTACGAGTCTTTTGATTAGGACATTCAGCAGTTATAGGGTGTGGCATATCTCCCAGAGTTCAGGGCTGACTTTCAGATTCTAATGCTTAAGGAACTCGGACGCATGCATGCGGTTTTTAGGCTCAAAGTGCTAGCAGTGGATAATCTCATCCCATATGTCGTATGGAGATCTCAAGGTTTCTTCCGAACATGGTAAATTTCTGTCTCCTATCATCTTGATGATCGTTGATGGAGGCCTGATTGAAGCAAAGGGCTTTATGTCCAGGATAATCTGCCTCGTGCTATAAGGTGGTTTAGCTATCTGAGAGCCGTCCCATGCCTTGGACGAACCTCAACGACGAGACATCCTAGAGCCCATATGTCGCTAGCGGGACTTGGATCCACCAGATCAAATAACTCTGGACTGCAGAAAGGTATTGTACCAGATAAATCGTTCCCTGTTTCGAGGCCGGAACGAAATTTCGACTTGGCAAGACCAAAGTCACAAAGGACTGCTTCACCCTGCTAGTTTTACCAGCGTATTGGCCTAATTCTTGCATGAGAAACTGCTGCATATCTTTGCAGCCCATTCACTTACCGCTTTAATGTCTCCGTGAATTACGGGGGGATCAAGGTTGTGCAGGTAGGTCACCCCCCCGGGCCACCTGAGCCACCTGATACTCGCGTCAGCCTAAAGTTAACCCAGATGCACCGTGATGACGTCACTTACAAGTTCCATTCTCTCTGGGATCTTCACATCGCGTGCCTTTAGATAGCACTCGACGGTCCCGAACGGTTCTAGGGGACAAACTAGCCATGCAGTGTCAAGGCTTGGGCTGAGGTAAAACCCAATAAAGAAAAGGATGTTTGGGTGTCGTAAATTCGACCATATGTTGATTTCGCGCAAGAGTCGCTATTGAGTGGAATTATATCGGTATCTCTTCTAGATCATTGTAAATTTGCTTACATAGGCTATTCGGAGATCATTCGATTCATTCGATCTCATGATTTTAATCGCAACCCAGATCGTTTGCTGTGCGATGGCGACGAATAGGTCCGCTTCATAGACATTCCCAGCCCCGAGCTCCGCTGATTTATCTATCACAAGCTTAGTTGGATTATTGTCAATGAACAAGAAGTCTAACTCCTCTAAAGCTTGGCCCTGGAGACTTGTGTCAGCCGCGTCCCAATGGATATAATGTTCGGAACTCTCACCACTACCCGTTGATCCAGTTCAAGATCTACTTCTTACATGTTGTGATTGCCGTTTGTCCCGGGCGAGCGTGAAGCTGCACGGATGAAGTGTGAGCCTTTGAAATTCAGAGCACCGCTTGAGCGCTTTGAAGCAACGCCCTCACATTAAAGCCAAGAACCAGCGCGGAATCCGAAGCGCGGTGGAATAGTTCCGCTTGACCTGATTGAACTCTGACCTGGTGGATCTCTGGGAGGTAGGGTCTTGGGTTAGTCCAAACTCCAAGCATGGTGGGAAGCTCGACAAGGTTCGCCTCGGGAGGCCAGATCTCTGAGCAGCCTCAAATGATGTGTCTCCAATCCCAGGCGGCCTCATATCTTTCATTAGGACATACCCGTTTGTTATTAGTACCTGCGCCCACAGTTGTCGTCATGGCTGCCACCGTCACTTATCCTCGTCGTTCCAGCATACCTCACGAACACCTCTCCTTTTTATAATCGGCAGCATTATATATCACGGGCCTTATTCGGAGGATGAGGATTTGGAACGCCACCATAGCGACATAGGATCTATGGAGGTCGACTGCGCTTTATGCGAGGCCAAGCCGGAATGACTGGCCGATATGCACCCTCCACCGACCTCCACCTCCACTTTTGTGGTCCCCGATGGCTGTATAAGAGCTTGATTTCTTTCATGTCTGGAGACCTATTGCGATATAACAACAATGATAGATAACACCCAGATACTCGTCCTTGGCGCAGGCGAGCTCGGCCTATCTATGATTCAGGCCCTCGTATCTCATCCTACTAAACCTAATGTTTCTGTCCTCCTTCGTCCCGTCTCTGAACCGAACAAAGCTCGCCAAGAACTCGCAGCGACTCTCGATTCACTCCACATCTCCGTGCTCGACGGTGAACTCACTGCACCCGTAGACTCCCTCGCTCGGCTCTTCGCCCCCTTTCACACCATCATCAGTTGCATCGGATTTTCAGCAGGGAAAGGCAGTCAATTACGCATTTGCCATGCCGTTCTCCAGGCGCGCGTCAGGCGATACGTCCCATGGCAATTTGGGGTAGACTATGATGCCATCGGTCGAGGCAGCTCGCAGGATCTCTTTGATGAACAGCTCGATGTGCGCCACTTACTTCGTAGTCAGGACGATACGAAATGGACGATCGTCTCGGCTGGAATGTTCACCAGCTTCCTCTTCGAGCCTTCGTTTGGAGTGGTGGATATGGAACGTTCGATCGTTCGAGCTCTAGGGAGCTGGGAGAATGAGGTGACGGTAACTAGTGCAGAGGATATCGGGAGGTTGACGGCCTCGGTGTTGCTAGATGATAAAGAGGTGATGGGCGGTGTGATCAAGATCGCAGGGGATACAACCACATTTTCCGGAATTGCAGACCTGCTGAGAGGCATGGGGTGCGACATAAAGCAGGAGACATGGACACTGGAGGATTTAGAAGAGCAACTGAGGGAGAAACCAACAGACAAGATGCTGAAATACCAGGTGGTGTGGGCTAGAAATGTTGGCGTGAGTTGGCCGAAGGATGAAACGTACAATGCTAGGAAAGGGATACCGGTGGAGGATCTGAAGACCTGGGCGGAGAAGAACTTGAAGAAGCCAGTTCGGGGTTGAGTGATAGGATTATAGTTACAATTGAACTGATCGGTACATGTACAGCGAAATCAGATACCTCCATGCAGAATACGTTTGTGCTGGCTCTTGAAAAGCCTGAGCCTCTTCAATAATCAGATTTAAACCCACCCTGGATTCTACAAAGCATTAGACCGAGAATTAGGTTACATAGCCGAAAGAGTACCAACTTTTCATGTCCTCGTTGGCACCGGTTTATCAATCCACTTTATTGGGGACGAGTCCAGTTTTAAAAATAGGCCCTGTAGGTTTCTAGTGCTCAAACTCAGAGACTATCGCCACAAGTTACGGATCTATGTGCATGCAAACGTGTCTCGGTTTTAGACGCATGTCAGGCAATAGCGGCTACGATGTTGTCCGTGTGGAGTATAGATCCTGGCCGTGTCGGAATCTTCGGAGTCGAGCAGCGACCCCATAAATACAATTAGAGTTGGACCCAGTCCGACTCTACAACCCATGGCTTGAGCGATGAGAGCTCCCAAAGACCCTAGGCTCCCACCAAACCGCGTGCTCTGCTTCCTCTCGAGCATGGTCTTGAAGACGTAACCCCCCTCCCCCATGCTTTCAGTGTAGACCTCTTCTCATGCTTCCTTCGTCGGATGGTGATGTTTTCGATTACGCATACACTCCTAGAGGACCCTATACTTGAAAAAGTGACCTTTTAACGTCATATCAGTGGGGGACTTGGGCCGATATGGCATCGGATGGTGCTCTCGGTATTATTTCCAAGTTCAGCACACCTTTGGGTTTCAATCCAAGCGAAGGGCACAAAAAGGTAATGACATGAGTGAGACTCGAACTCACGCCTCTTGCGAGACTGCAATGGGAATCACTTATAAGCGACAAGTTGAGTTAACACTTGAGTGCAGCGCCTTAGACCGCTCGGCCATCATGCCTTAGTGAAATTGTCACTTCTCTTGCATTAACTAAACTTTTACTATTATGAATTACATTTACAACAGCTCAGAGACCTGAAATCACTATCTCGACGTTCTATTTTTAACTAGATAGGGCTGCACAAATGATATGGCAAAGCTATTTTGCGTCTGATTTCAATCACCATGGACTGATATTACTCCTCATACTCAGTTGATCCATGAGGGGCGGCACAAGCGGTAGACAACATCTTCCCAACACCGCCGACTTCTAGCGCATATCGGCTCTTGTGCGAGAGACACGACGTATCGCGTAACCTAAAGTAGGAAGGTCAACCCCACGGCAAGAGGTACTTGCAGGAAGATCGGATCTCCGAGGTCGAACAGAATCAATCAGCTCGGAAATTTGGTATAGGAGTGAAGACGAGACGAGACGAGACAAGACAAAACAAGAAAAGCCGTAAACAACTCACGATTGCGCGCCTGTTAGTTCTAGCGCCCACCCAACGCCGCGGGAGAGAGGGGGAAGACTGCGTGATACCGATCGTCCAACCGCAAATAGGCAAGTCGAGTCCACGGCAAGAGAGACGTTGCACAATCTCCGAGCTGGGACCATAATTTGGTTATGTCCGAAGTCAATTGGATTCGCCCGCATATCGCCACAGTTCATCACCGGTGTGGCTGTGTCCTCCACTCAAAGACCACCCCCGACTTATGCGCCCCTCGTCTTATATCGCGGCGGAGGGGAAATAGAGTAGATGAGACCGTCGGACATTCGGAGGGATCGGTCGTTGTTCAGAAAAGCCGATGAATGATTGTGTATGTTGCGTTGTGTGCGAGGATCGGATGGAGTTGTAATGTGAGCGGCGGAAAACGAATATTAGAAGCCAGCTGCTGTTGTGACACGTTTAATATTTCTGCGTGGCCCATCTGGCACTTGTTTTGATGCTGAGAAGAGCAAAAGAAAAACGATGGGGGATCAGAGCCAATCTCATCACTTCCACCTTCTATGTTGGGCCTTAGCCGATCAAGTTGCCACGCGAGAGCCGATATCCTGATCTTAAAACGCCCGGGTGCATCGTCCAATGCCGATCGTGAAAGGTTTTGATGGAGCGTGCTAGGCGATCTCAGGGCCGGGCCGCCACAAATTGCCACCGAGTACCCATCGGTTCAAACACACCATATCCGTCCTGACAATTACCCACAACCTACGAGTGTGACGCAGTGGGAGGAAAGACACTGTAAGCTGTTATTTGTACACAGGGGAAATCAACAGTCATTGGGAAGCAAGTAATCAGCCAGGGAGCGGGGCTAGACTCACCAGGTGTTTGTAGATGCATGGTGTGTATGTATTTGGGGGTAACACAGTGTAAATCGGGGTATTTACGCATCGGAGGGTGCGGAGAGGATCGGGGGGGGATACACCCACATGTCGAGCGATGACTGTGACGCACCGCTAACACGTTGAGGGGTGCGCCTTCATTCCACGTACGCATTGGTAGCAGAGAACGCTCGCGAAATAAATACATGAGTCGCCAAGGCCGCCCATTCGCGCCGTCGTTCGGACGACCTTCAGTCTTAATAACGTGGCCACGAAGGTTGGCTCAATATGAACCAGGACGTTGGCGTACAACCTCATGCAAGAGATTGACGTGTATTGAATCGTTGGAGAGAGCATAAAGAGCCTTTATTAATGTGCATTTTACACAGTAACGTGGCGGGATGACCGCCATGCGCTGTGCAAGTTGCTCACCGCCGATCCAAGCGTAGTAGGCCCAATCTCAAGATCTGCTTCCTTCTAGTGTCCCTTTAACTGATTGGCTTGGAGTATCGAGTGCCTTCGAACCCCGTAGCTGGGATCCGAGGGAGCGTTAAGCGGTTGGGCGCTGTGTTAGTTGCATACTTCAATCAGCGATGGTGGGGGCAACCGACGGGGCCTGTGTATTTTGCACAATAGTTGCTGTGGAGAACGAGTTGTGAGTCCCATCCCGCCTTCTTCGTTTCTCAAGCTCTCCGACTCAGTCAATTTTTTGTTTTGTTTTGTCGTTTCTCTGTCTTCAACTTTTTGGCGCGGTGTAGGGTGCGTGACAGTCGGAACTTAGAATAAGGTACGAACACCCACGCCTTCGAACGGCACCACCCAGTAATCCGGTACGAATCGCCTTATATTGTGAAATCTCGGTCAAACGGGAGTGGAGTTAGAGATCCAGCGGGTGCGTATCTGAGAGTGGACACCGAGTTGGGTGTCGAGGGCAGGGAGAAGCCTTCGTTGAGCCGTTCAACAACCGCAATTCTCACGAGAAGCATTACATTAAGGACCCTCTATTGCCGCAAGGAGACTAGTGAGATCCGAGGGGACCACAGCGTAACCTCACAGATCTTGTCAAAAGGGTCCTGTGTAGATCTCAGATCCCAGACCGCTCTCTGGCCGCTAGACACAGATCCGGTTCAGACCCCGGTGGACGGACTTGAGCAACTTGCACAACTTCCCGCCGTTCACTCCATTTACCAACCCAGTTGTGCGGCTGGATGGCGGCTCATCGACCGATGCCTTCAGGACTTGGAGATGGGTTAAATACTCGAGCCCTCTGTGCGACATACTCCAGCAATCCAGCACTACATCTCCCGCCCCTCACAACAACATCTCTCACTCTCCTCCTCACACAACTTCTCCTTACTCACTACCCCACACACTTACTACAATGTCTGCCGATTCAAAGCTATTCCAGACCATCACTACTGACAACATCAAGTCTGCCCTTGGCGCTCTCCGTCCTGGCAGCTACTTCATCATTACTGCCGAGTCTGGTTTCTGCCCAGCATGCCACTCTGATCTGTCCTCTGCCAACATCACGGCACCCAACTCTCTCCTCGGTCATCTGAGACGCTCCAAAAAGTGTATCCAGAAGCGTGAGGAGAAGAACATTAAGCTCTTTGGCTTGAAGCAACGTAAGTCCATAACCACGCGAAAGTTGCCATGCGCCCCTGATTCCTGACATCACGTGTTCTTTTCATTTACAGCCGAAAGTCTCCTGTGGGGCTCCGTTGACGATATCATGGCTCTCGATGGCGGGCGCTACGCTGAGAAGCATGTTTGGGCACAGGCAGTATTCCCTCCTGTGAGTCTAACACAAATTTCATCCGGGTCGAGCGCCCGTTTCTAATCTTCCGTCTTTCTCTCTAGACTCGTCCTCAGCTCGGCGCTCCTCCTATGTATTCCTCTCCTTCGCAGTGGAACATGCGTGGCGGTGATGGCTACAGCTCATCTTCCCCTCCTCCAAGCTCTGGCTCGTCCGACGATGGGTGGTCCGGGAGCACCGCCTCTTCATCGAGCGGCTCTTCACCAACTGCTTCCCACTTCAGCCAACAATACGTCATGCCCTCGCACCCTCATGGACATCCCGCTCAATATGCGCTTTCCTATGACCCGACTGTCCGCCGCGAATCGAACTCAACTATCTCCGCCGCGGATTACTACGCGCAGAAGCAAGCAAAGATGTCGGCCGGTCTTCAACAGATTAACGCCGCACGATCAGCGAACGTGAACAACCCGCAGTACTACACCCCTCCCACTCCGGCGATGGGTGCCGGCCCTCAATACAGGGGACAAGCGCCGCAGATGTACGTGCCACCGCAGCAGCAAATGCAGCAGGGCATGTACGTGCAGCAACAATACGCTCAGCCTGGTTATCAATATCCGGCACCTGGGCAGAACTTCGCGTATTGATCTGTTTTCCGGCTCTGCATCTGTTCTTTCGCCGCACTGTTCTTTGTTTTGTTTCGGATCTCCAACTTCGTTTTCTTTCTCTCTGCCATTATTCCACCGCCACCTGTGGTTCTCCGTCTTGTTTTCGCCTTGTATCTTGACCTGGGTCGTTGCCATCTGTATACTGCCATTGTTTATTGCCTCTGCCTCGCTCTGTATATCGTCTGTTTTGTTGTCAAATAAATCTGGTTTTCCAGAAAAGTCTAAACGCGAGCAGAGGTCACTGGATGAACGCGCACTTCAAAATACCGGTTGGTATGAACTTTGAACGAACAGTAGAAAAACACGCGATCTCCTGCAGGCGTCGGAAGCTGCCGATTTACCGGAAACTGATACGGAAAGATATCTGAGGCACTTTGAACAGCACGACAGAACACGTTACGTTTCGTCAACCTGCCAAGAGCGCGAGGAGCCGTGGAGATTAGCCTATGTCATTGTGATTCCGTCAGCCTTCTTCGGCTTCTCTTCCCGAGATCCAGGGTCTAACAATTGAGTGTATGACTGTGGTGGCTGCCAGTCCCTTAAGTGATGCCATCCCCTGAGGGCAGTGAAAGGATCGTCAAGGTCGCATTTTTAACCGCTCTTCCTCCTTGAAGAGTGCTATGATACGGCTCCTGAAGCCCTCGCATAGGAGGCGTGTCATTCAATCCAGGAAGCAACCTCCATATGGATGTTAATCAAGGCCAGCGCAGCCGAATCAATGGCACATCTGATTCCATGTATTATACGTGGGGGAATCTTGGGGGTGGCACCTAGTGGGGTGTGATGGACGATGGCTGCGTAGATCAACATTTGTCGTTCTCCATTCTGACCTGTTCAGATTATTGTGCAAACCTCACTCGCAATCCAAGCAGCTCATGTCACTGCAGCATGCAGAATCAGGTTCTTGGAGGTGTCATGGGTCCACAGGCAAATTTTGGAGGCCTGTTGGGGTCGTGGAAGGTATACATGCGAACAGTGCGACTCACACCGGAAGCGAAATGGTAAATGCCGGTGCCAATTGGAAGGCGCTGACAACGATGCGATAACGATCATGGATGTGATTACTGTTCAACGATGTCATGGGATGATAAAGGAGACCATCTTGATGTAATCCAAAGCCGCATGAGACTCGCTCTATATTCCGCCGACCATGTGGTGAGTTCTTGTATCTATAATGGCCATGGTATTTCAGCTAATGAGTACTCCTCAAACCTTCCTGTCCCAAACACGATGCCATGCTCATCAACGTCCCCGTGAAAGGTTGTTGACTCCC